TGACTGGAAGAGGACCACATGAGTCTGTAAATGCTGAGCATCTACTCTGAGCCAGAAGCCCTCTCTCTCTTGTTAAAAAAAAAAAAAAAATATATATATATATATACACACACACACACATATATATAACATATATATGTATGTGTATACACACATACATATACATACATACATATACATAAAAATTACATATATAGGAATACGTATATATTAAAATGCATAAAATACATATGTATATTTAATATATACACACACACACATATATATAATTTGCTAGAGGGCACATATACTCAATAGAGACAGAGAGAGAGAAAGCATCTTCCATGGGGAATGGCCAGGCCACAACCCTTTCTCCCCCACTTTTCCTTTTTGGATTTTAGGAGTACACACACACACACACACACACACACACACTCTCCTAGTGTGTTTTTCAAACTTCCAGGTCCAGGACTCAAACAGCTTATTCGGCCATGTGGAATTCAGTCTCTCTAACCACCATGCCACCAGCTGGTCCAGCCTCTCTCTCGTTTGTTGCAACTTCCGGGGTGACTCAGTTGACATGATTTTACTACTCAAGAACAGCTTCAGTCTTGTCTGCAAGTCTGCAGAGCTATCATCTGTGGATTCATCCTCTGAGAAACAACTTGCACATTGGGGACACGGTGGAATTAGACCTGACGAGAGCAGGTTTGACTGAAGAGTGAATCATCCGGGAGTTGGCGTGGTTCACTTGGGCCTGAAGGAGCATGGGGACAATGGAAGCTGGGTCCATCTAAGGCAACCTGTGGTCAAAATCCATCTGAAATGCAAGCTTCCTGACATGGCCTTCAGCGTAATGTGGCTCCTTCTTCATCTCTCCTTTCTCCCACATACTCCCTAAACTGCCCTCACCCCATCCTGTCTGTAAAGCCTGGTCCACACTGCCTGCCTTTGTTTCTACTCTGTGTGGAATCCCTTCACCCACTCAGCTCCCTAACTGCACTGAACTGCTGGCTGGCAGATCTATCCCTCTACACTGGGAGGCCCTGGGGGGGCAGTAGTCTATCCCTTTCATATCTACACTTGCCACCCCCAAACTGGAGTCTGCTAAGGGAGCCAGCTGGGAAGAATACAGAGTTGAAGTCTGTTTTCAAACAGAATGCCTATTTCAAATGTTAGCTCTGCCCCTTACTAACTGTAGGACATCAGGTAAATTAATCGCTGTGGACTCCAGTGTTCTCATCTGTCAAACAGACACGACAAGGCGACACGTGCTTACTTTTTGGTTTGTTTGGAAGAGCAAATAATTATACATACGCAAAGCACCCAAAACAATAGCTGGTACTGAGTGAGAGCTATATAGGGAGCTCTATCGTGGACACTGTTGTTGTTGTTAAATGTGGAATAAAGGAAAATGAAAAAGGGACATCGTGTGTCTTATAGATGATCACACTGTTAAATTCACCTGCTGGTTTGGTGTCACCCTGGTAGGTGGACCCTCACCACACACCTAGGGACAGTGCTTTCACCTACTTATTATTTACCCGGGCTACCTCCTCCCTCCTCCCCACCAAGCCAGGTACTCCCTGACCCTACAGCAACAACACAGCATGACATGCAAGGGACACTGGCTCAATCCTTTGCACCCCAGCCCCCAGTAGACATTCTCACTCCTAGAACTTCAATACTGGGAGTTAAAGACGATCTTGTCCAACACTGTCCCCATAACAGATGGGGAAACCGAGGCCTGCAGAGGTTGTGTGCTTGCAATTTGCTAGTATTGGATTTATGTATGTTACCTATCATAGTTTAAGTTGGAAAGAACTTTATCTACTCTGGCACTTTTCAAACCTCACATTCTAGGGGGTCAAGTGAGATGCGAGCTCTGTTGTAAGTTTTCCACTGTGCATTTGAGGAACATTTATTCAATACCTACAACGTGCTGTGCATTAGGGACACAGGCCAGACCCCACCTCTGACCTCGGGACCTCCCAGGCTAAGGGGGAAAAGCAATGCTACGTAAATAAGCACACACCTGACAGCAAAGTCTTCCTGTGAGTGGACTACGTTTTTGAAATATACTGAAATGAGCATCTCACCTACACACCAGGTGCTTTCTGAGTGGGAGAAAAAGGCCAGGACAGAAGGGCAGTTATAAGTAGTGGCCTGGAAAATGCCCACCCCATTGGGTTGGCCAGTGCCCAGGTCCCATGTAGACTCAATCACCGTCATGTGACTGCAGCAGTCGAGAGACTGGGAACCACTGAACTAGGCCTACTCACCCCCATCTCACATTCAAGCAAACTGAGGCCTCCAGAATATAACCCACTTGCCCCAAAGAGCACAGCAGATTATAGTCTAGAAGGGCTCTCTTAGCCTTCCTTCCAAACAGCAGTTCCAACGCCACAGCATGCATGTGATCCGACCTTGCTCACTTCTGCAGCCTCATCTCTCCCCATTTCTCCTCCTGCTCTATGATTGAGCCGTACTGAACGGCGCGTGAAGCCCCAAATGCACCTCTGCTTTGCCCCAACCACTCCCTTGAGCAGGGGACCCAAAGTCCCCTGCTCCTAAATACCTTCAGTTCATTTTCAAAACTCAGGACTCAGCTTGGGTTTCTCTCTAACAGGAAGCCCTTTAGGAAGTGTCCTCCTCTACCTCGCAGAGCACTTCTGCCCTCACACGTAGACAGAAACAGTCATCACATAATGTAGTCATCCATTCAACAAATATTTATTGAGCAACTTCTACGTGCCAAGCACCCATGAGTACAACAGTAAACCAAACAAAGCCCCTGCCCTCGGTGGAGCTTACAATCTAGTGAGGAAAAAAGGCAACAAACAAATGAGATATAACATAAAGTCACACAGAATTTGATACTATAGAAAAAAAATTTTAAAAAGAGTAAGGGCTGAAGGCTGGTGGGGGAAGTCTGGGAAGGCCTCTCTGAGGAGATGGCACTTGATCAGTGGACTGAAGAAGTGACAGAGAAAGCCGTGCAAATAACTGGGAAAAGAACATTTCAGGAAGCAGCAGCAATGGCCCTGCAGTTACTGGTTTTTTGTTTGTTTGTTTGTTCGTTTGTTTTTTCCCACTTGTGCTTTATTCCCTGGTGAACTAAGAGGTCCCTGAGGGCAAGGGCTACATCTAAAGCATGTTTGATTCCCTGGGCCAAGCACAGGATGTGGGACCTCTCCAGTGACAGTTACAGAACGAGTGAAAGACCTGGCCTGGGACACATGGGTCCATCTGGCCCCCTCTCTCCTAAACAGCAAAATCGAGCCTACTTTGTGTATTTCTGTCTCCCACAGGGCTGAGAGGAGAACAGGCCCTGTGTGGTTTTCTGCCTCGCCTGACCCTGTGGCCTGGTTTCAGTCTCTGAATTTTCTCTTCGTTAGGACCGTGGCACCGACAAGTTCCCTGGTTTTACCTTGTCTGCCCTCATATCTCTACCCTGGACGTAAGACCCTGTCTAGAAACCCAGACAGTCTAGAACAGAACCCACCCTCACTTTCCCCATGTTTCCCTGTGTGAAGATCCTCCCCTGAATCCCAAGCCCTGAGCCAAGGGCCCTATGGGGTCAGACTTCCCGGATGGCTAGAAGTCATGCCCGATACATGACTTCCTCCCAAACCAAATGGCTCTTTCCTACAGTGACATCAAACTTTGACCACCTCGATCCTTTCTTTTTTTTTCTTTTTTTTTTGAGAGATTTTCGCTATAGGGCGCGTGTGCTCGCCAGACAGACAGAGAGAGACATAGAGACAGAAAGCGAGAAATCACCCCCCAGGGGGGATGGTCATACCGCAATCCCTTCTCCTCCATTCTCCTCTCGGGATCTTGGGCACGCACGCACACGCGCCTGGTGTGAGTTTTAAGCCACCAGGTCCGAGACGCAAACCGCGGTCGACAACGTGGGAATCCAGCGTCATAGCCATTACGCCAACTGCTGGTTCCCACCACCTTGATCCTTTCTGAGGTCTGCATGTTCCAGCTTCATAAACCATGAACATGACCGTAGCACAGGGCTAAGGACTTGAGTCCTCATGTCACTTGCTGCAGGTCCCTAGTACCTTTCGCAGGTCACCTGGGTCTACATCACCAGACTTGACTACCCTAAAATGAAATCCTGACATTCCTGAAAGTGCATTAAATGACGTAATATGTTGCAAATAAAGTCAAACGGCTTTATCTACTCAGCCAGCTGCAACAGACACCCTGGAAGTCATTGGAGTTTTATTATCTCAGCCCCCACCAGGTCTGAAATCGGTTCAAGAATGAAAAACTTTTCTCATCTATTCGCTCTTTCGTCCACCACTTACTGACATCTGCTACAGGCCAAGCCCTGAAACACAACGCAGGGCCTGCACTGAGGGTGACGGTGGTGCTGGTGATGACAGTGGAGGGAGCATGAGACGAGGGCAGTGACACAGTTGCCATTTCCTGCACACTCGGACCATACAACACTAGGTAGCGAGTCTTCTGGTGCTAACAGAGCCACGGGAATGACTGGCCTCACTTTACAGAGGAAGAAATGGGCTTAGAGCTGAAGCAACTCGCTCTAGGTCATAAGCTAAATAGCAGGGTGTAGCAGACCCTGCCTGCTCCCAAGTACAAACTGTTACACTGGCCAAGAGTCGCACAGTGAGTGCTCAAGGAGGGAACTTCAGTGAACAGAGAAGGGGGGACCGGCAGGGGCTCAGGGGTTGGAGGCGGAGACAGGAATGTAACTGGATACCTACGGTGTGAGGTGAGTGCCAGTGGCTGGAGACACAGAAAAAGCTGTAGGGGAACTAGAGGAAAGAGGGACTACCATGACCTGGAGGGGTCTGGGAAGCCTTCTTGGAGGAAGTGACTCTAGGCCTCGAAGGATGAACAGTTTGCGGATGACAAGCAGGCTCCAGCGTGGAGCACAGCAGGAGTTCAGCCCTCGCCTGCCAACCTGGCTGGCACCATGCCGGGTCCTCTGAGTCGGTCCTGTCCACCACCCCCATGGCCCACACGGCTAGGCCCGGCCTCACCTCCTTCCACTTGAGCTGGCGGATGCTGATCTTCAGGGCGTCCAGGGAGGTCTTGGCCTTGGAGCTGTCCACGGTGACCGGCCGCTGAGAGCCATACTCGTTGGGACGGCGGCCCGAGCTCCGTTTGCAGCTCCGGCCCTTGCTTCTGGGCTTCCCATGCGGACAGAGGCCTCGCGCGGGCCCTGGCTTCGGCTTGGACTTGGGCAGCGTCGGC